TGGCATCTTGATTATTTTTTCCAGTTGAACATGGATGCCAATGAGAACTCTTTCTCCCTTCTGAACCCAGGCGTGAATGCTGCTATCACACATGGAATATAGAGACTTGATGTCTAGCCACTTAGGCTGTATACCTGAAATTAACATGAAATAATATTAAATGTGAAATAATATTCAGTAATTGAAAAATAAAATTTAAAAAGAAAGCCCAAAGAACTCCAGAAAACCTTGAATAATATATATAATGATTGAAGCTTTTATTATGTCTCAAGGCCATCATTCTAAATATTGGTGGTTATTGTACACTGTCCATGTTGTAGACAGCATGGCATTTGACTTAAATAATTGTGTTAGTCTCTTAAATACAGTTTTAAAATAAACTATTCTGTCAGTGGTTCTTGACCTTTCCAGAATCATGAACCTGGCTGAGAATGTGATGAAAGTTATGAGTTTTCTCTTGAGAACAATGCCCATGTACACACACATATATGTACACACACACACACACACACACACGCACACATGCACGCACACGCACACATTTTGCCTACAACTTCAAGACTTTTTAATTCATCCACAAATTCCAGGAGCTTTCATGGAGTCTTAGTTGGGGATCCCTTGCCTTACATGAGATTGTTTTCATTCTTTCATGCAAGAGGCATGGTATACATTTCTATTTTAACTAAATGTTCTAATGGACTTGATCCTAGTCAGTTGATTAACTGTAAACTTTTCCCATAGTTTGTACCATGTCTTTTGAGTCTGGACTCGGACAGGGTGATGGATCTGCACAGCCATCCTAATTCCTCCCTTAACTACCTACAGGACATTGTGAAGTCAAAGAACTAACAAAATGTAGCAGAAATCGACTTAGATTCTCAGCCAGGGGACCCGAGTTCTTGTGTTCATATGCTCTACCAACTTTAACATTTTTTAGAAACACAACTCTGGGGTACTGGTAAAGTGAGGCACATCTGCCACAATATTTGGTTGTATTGGTTGAGTGCCTTCACTTTGGCTATTTCATTTATCCTAACACAGTCTTGGTGAGAAGGTTAATAAGTTATAAGCATTCAATGCATACACATAAGAAAAGGAAAATGGTAGTTGGTTTGCTCAAAAGTAGTTATATCAGGAAAGATGTGAGAAGTCCCATTCTGATTCTAGTTCCCAGACAGACCTGTGCTCCTCAACCGATTTCATTATTTAATTCAAGCTACATATGAGCCTAAGGCAGCTAGGCAAAAATGGTTGGATCCATTCATATTAAATGAAGTCTCTATTGCAACCTGACTGCGCTAGAAAGTTAGTTACAGGGAAGTATGAATGATGGCTAGAAACATTTGGTTGACATGGTAGGTTTCTGGTATTCTCAGTTATTAATCATTTTATCTCAAATAAGTGGGACCATCATGTCAAAGGTAAATCTGGAGATATTTCTGTGTCTAGATTTTTTTTTTTTTCTGAGCTACCCTTAACTGTGCTAGGAATTAGAAATACATATGATCTTGGTTAACTTACTTGAGGTGCCCCCCGGTTCTTCCCCCCCCCCCCCTACCCACAGCATCTTTTTGTATTCTCCAAAAGAACATCCTCTTTCACACTTGTAGAAACTTAGAGCTAGAGGAAATTTAGAAATCAGTTAAATAGTGCCTTGTGCAAGAAGGAAACTGAGGCCCAGGATGATGAAGTAAGATGCCACAGGATACAAAAGCTAATCAGTAACAAACTCAGGATAAGTTCACAGACCTCCTGACTTATTTTCCTATCTTTTTAGGCAGACAAATTAAAATTTTGACACTCAGAAAATTCAAAAATTAAGCAGGAAAAGGCTTATAAAAGCTAAAAAATTGTGTTAGGTTTACAGTTGCTTCCCACATACTGTGATTATATGTATGTTCACCTTTCTTGCCTCCACACACTCTGATTAATTGTACCTCACAGAATATGCTTCTCCCAACTAAATAACTTCACCTTTGATCTCCTTTGTTGTTTTTAAGGGTCTGTCTGAAATAATGGATAAATACACTTACAATTTCTCCAGTTTAAAGGATAAAACTTCGCTACCTAAAACTTTCAATTTCTATCAAATTGAAAATTGGCATTGATCTCTCCAAAGGTTTTTGTTTGTTTGCTTGTTTTTTTGTTTGTTTGTTTTTCAATTAGTGCAGCAGAAGCTATTTAAGGAGAGGCAGTGTTGTACTTGACTCCAGGCTAGACCTACCGGAAGAGTCAGGGGAAAACGCATAATCCTGTCAGAAAAGATATAAGAGATGTGAAAAGACAAAAATAAATAGCCTTAGCTGGTTTGGCTCAATGGATAGAGTGTCGGCCTGCAGACTGAAGGGTCCCAGGTTCAATTCCAGTCAAGGGCGCATGCTTAGGTTGCGGACTCTATCCCCAATAGGGGGTGTGCAGGAGGTGGCCGGTCAATGGTTCTCTCTCATCATTGATGTTTCTATCTCTCTCTTTTTCCTTCCTCTTTGAAATCAATAAAAATATGTTAAAAAAATAAATCCCACAAACAGTGAAGGAGCAGTGATGTCATATGTAGACGTGAACACTGTGGAATAGAGAGAATGATCAATACACCCAACAATAGTAAATAATGGCTTTATGGGGAAAGTAGGATTGGAACTTGGCCTTGACGAATGCATAGACTTTGCATAGCAAATGGCAGATCAGGGTGTTGAGTGCTGGGCAATGGCACTGGAGTAGGAGCTAACACTGGGGAGGAGATGGGCAGTGGGTGACCAGCTTCGCAAAGCAAACCTGCAAGATGCCAGTCATTGGGAAGAAAGTTGGATAGGTGGGTAGGTAGGTAGGCTAGACAAATGCTTGATAGTGAGGAATCCCAGCTGTGTAACTTTGGGCAACTTACTTGACTTCTCTGTGCCTCCATTCCTCTGGGGAAAATGGGAATAGCAAGCACCCCTCTCTCGTGCTATTGTTGGGATGACTTAGAATTACATGTTCTGTGCACTAGGAGAGGTTAGGACAGTGCCTTCCAAGTGTTCGTTCACCTTAGTAAGCATTTCCATGCCCTCTGGATTTGGATGGGGAGTGAACACAAATAGGCTACACCAGTATTCACCATTCTACTTAGCATGAAGCCAGAAAATAAAGACTTGAAAGTAGTCTGAGGAGTCTGGACTGAATGAACAGCAGAGCTGTTCATAGGCTGAACTGGATTGAGAAAATCTACGCTTAGAAGGATCTCTTCAAACCTACAGGGGTAACTCCACCAGTGCCCTTCGCTGGCGACTCAAACCTCTCAGCCCCTGGGGAAGGGGACTACATGCAGGTGGACGGGTGACAAACAGCATGGAAGGCATTTTGGGGGGGGCGGGGATGGTTTTCAAGGTATTAAAGCGAGTCTAATTTTCATGGTTCTCCCTCTTTGCAGTGGGCCTTTAAGGGAGGGTCCAGTTCTGAGGTTAATAAGTAAAACAACTGAGAACCACGTTTGGCAGATTGAATATTAACCAGCCCCTCTTGGGTAGTTATTGAGACACCAGTAAGTGGAGAGGTGATGCTCAGTCTGGTTCCGAAAGGGCCTTTGCCTGGTCTGGGACGTCCTTGACATTGATAACCTTCAAGCCCTGGCCAGACTGCATACAGTTCTTCCCCTTGCCTGTCTCTTTTCTCAATGATAACTTGGCATTCCTGGGTGACAGATAAGCAGGGGCCCATGAGTTAGGTCCGATGGTTAAGGGTGGAGAGGCATCTTTCAGATTTGGAATCTGTCTACTACTGGCCCATAGTTCTGAGACCCTCTGAAGTTTGAATGACAGAGGCTCTTCCCCAGTTCTTATCTCTTGACCTTGTACAACCACAGTGACTTCCATATGGAATTTGCTAGGGATTCGTGGTCCGTGACTCCAAAGGGAAGAGATCCAAAAAGCTCCTTTCATTAAACTTAGCCAACCTCTGAAATAGGTAAACTATTTTTAAACCGCTGGCAGCTGTAGGAGATCTTGGATGAGTTTGTAAATCTTTGCTTTTCAGATCTGACACTCTCCCCCCTACTTTGTTATTTGTTATTATTATTTGTTTGCTGTCATCTTTCAGGAATTTGGAGTCAGTAGCACAGTGACTTTACCAATGCATGATGTTGACCAAGGTCAACAAGAGACTTTGAGGGGACGAGGGTCGGGATGGCGGGGGGAGGATTCCGAAACCCATTCTACTACTCCAGACGAGGGATTAGTAATAAAGTAGGGAGAAATACTTGCCACAGCCGACACTAGGTATTTATTTTTCTGTGCTGTCCACCTGGTGATTCATATACACAATATTATGAGGAGTAGAAATTACAGAAAACACACCACACACTGTAGCAATAGCACAAACTCCATATTATAAAGAAGACGTCATCACGCCGCCTCCGGTACATTTTCACATTTGCAGAAGTAAATATTAAAGGTTATACTTTGAGACCTGTTCTACTGATTCTAGGAAACAGTATTACAAAAATGACAAATCCAGTGATTAGCCGGCAATCATATCCTTGTATTAAAAAAAAAAACACACACACACAAAAACTTTCATGCCGGTGTCGAAGAATTCAATTAAAATCTTATTATCCTTTCTGTCCTTTTGGACTGCCCCGGCTAGGTCAGTGCCAGGAGTCCCCCAATTTCCCAGCCTCTGTGCAGCCCCTCATCTAGCTTGGCTGGCACTCTCTCTTCCTCTCTTTCTCTCCCCCTCCCTCCCTTATTCCCTCCCTCCCCTGCCCCCTCCCCATTTTTAAAAGGCTTTAAAGAACATCTCAGGGAGACGAAAATAGCTCCAGTTGTGAGAGGCCTACACCGTGGGAAGGCAACTGAGAGATGCAAGTCAGCGAGTGGCAGCCGCGGAGAACATGAGGGTCTGGCCCCGCGCGGAGGTGCCCGGGCCCGGTGCGTAGGAGGGCAGCTGGGTTCGCTGCGGGGCGGTGGGCCAGGCAGTCTGGGGGGTCCGGGCTGCAGCGCCCCTGGCTCCGGCTTCCCCTCCCCCCCGGGTTTTTAAAGGCTATTTTGCCCAGGCGGGCACTGGCGCCAGTCAAAAGGAGCAGTTGGCGCTGAATGTCACCCTGAAGGTAAAGTGAAAGACAAAAGATGAACGCATGCTTGCTTTCCCTTTGCAGCGGCTGCGGCAGCGGCGGGCCGGAGCAGCAGGATTTAAAGGGGCAAAAAACCCTCCCGCCCAGACACACGCCCAGAGGTGCCCTTTCTGCAAACGCAATCATGCCACCCAGTCATGACCTTGCTGGGAATCTGGGGGGCTCCTAAAAAAAATATATCGATTTTTTTTTTTTAAAGCAAGAGAGGGAGGGACGGAGAGAGCGAGAGAAACGCATGCAAACAGAAACGTGCACATACCACGTACCCACCCGAGGAGACCCCGGGAGCCTGGCTCTTCTCCGGCCAAGTTATCATTGAGAAAACAGACAGGCATCATGACGTCCCGGGTCACAGGGAGTGCGGACCGACGCTACCAAGAGCGGAGGGAGGCGCCCGGGCGCTCCGGCTAGCGGCGGGCGCCCCTCGGCCCCTGCAGCCCGGCTCGGTGAGTGACAGCCGCTCGGGACTCGGACCCGCGGCCAGGCCTGAGCCTCCCGTGCGCAGGGGGTCCGGTGGGGGGCCGTGCCCTTGCCCGCGGCGGGCCAGCCCGCACCCCCTCGCCGCCCGCCGAGGTCGCGGGAGCCCGGCTGGCGAGGAGGAGGAGGAGGAGGCGTGTGTAGGACGCGCAGTGTCCCTGCATGGGGGGTTCGTAGACTTTCCCAGCCAAAGGCACCGCGGGGCTGGCTCCTTTAACACCCCCCGACGTCTCACCTGGCCCCCCCCCTCCCCCCGCGCCGCAGTTGTGACCCCGCCAAGGTAACTGGTCCTGATTTTTAGCATCAACATCTGCAGGCTGACATCCCCGCGGGGGGCGTTCTGGATTTGCAGTCCTGGTGGAAAGCCCTTTGCCACCTCCCTCCCCGCCCCTTCACTTGTTTAGAGTGTTTTGGAGAAGAAAAAAAAAAAAAAGAAAAAAACCACACAGCAGTACCCCGCCCCCAATAACATGGCCCTAAGTACTGTCCCCCTCTGTAGACTCGCTCCTCACCAAGGTTGCAAACCTGCCAGTGTGTGCTCCAGACACACACAGATCCTAAAAGCAAGGATTTGTGCCTCCCACACCTCTCCCTTCCCCCTCCTGGATAGAGACTTCGGTGCTGGCACCCGAGTGAGGGCAGAGTTAGGGCAGCAGGACCGGAAGGGGTGGGGGGAGCCCTCTGTCCTCAGCCAAGGAGGGGAGGGGGGAGAGGGGAGATACAGGAGTTGAGGGCTCGGAGGTCCTGTGATCCCTGCTGCTGCTGAGTCCTAGGTGTCTCCCTCCTGCCCTCTGCTCCTCTCTCCCTCCCTTCCCCTTCCCTCTCCCCTGGGGGGGGGGGGGGTCAGAAGTTGCTGGGAGGTCACCAACCACCATTTGAAGCATTTCAAACCACCACCCCGTAAGTCCTGAGAAGCATTTGCAGGATAGAACCCGCCCCCTCTCATCACCCCTGTTTGGTGATGGATGATTCTTAGAGAAAGACACAGAGGGCAAAGCTTCCCTCCCCTCTCTTCTCTCCCTTCTGCATGCCTGCCCTCCCCCTTTCCCAATCTTAATGAGCAATTCTGGAAGCCTCTGGAAGGGCCTGGAGAAAGCCCGAGGTGCCTGGGTGCTGGGGAGTGGCTGTGTGTGTTTGTTTATTGTGCTGGCTTCGGTCTTGTTGTAGGTGGCCACATGGGTCTGCTTAAGCGGGGAAGCACGTTGGCTGTGTTTGTGTTGTACTACCAGAACCAGTGGCCGTACAACCCGACACTGACACACGCAGAAAGCAAATGATTCCGCTAACACAGACCAGAGGGCAATGCTGAAAATAGCACCTCCTCTCTCTATCTCAAAAAAAAAAAAAAAAAAGAGAGAGAAATTCTCAGCAAGTGAGTTCAGAGAAATTGCTCTTAGGTCCACATATGACCTCCCACTACTTTCATAACACTCCTGCTTAATACTTTAAGTCAGGATCAAGAGACCTGTGGGGGTTTGGAAGTGCTGGGAGCAGCTGAAGGCTTGGGCCAGTTGTGAAGAGAAACTCTCCTTTGTTTCTCCTGCTCCCCAGAGACCAAATGGGGGCGTGTGTTTGGAAGATGCCCAAGTTCAGAAGCAGCAGGCAGGAGGGGAGGCAGGGGATGGGGTTGGACTTGGTGTTAGGATTCCTCTCTTTTTTCTGTCCAGTAGATTGGATGTTATCAACATGAGTTCACCAGCCAGTGTCATTGCGGGAAAAGGAGGGAAATTTGAATAGTTCTCGAGTTCTCAAGTCTGAGCTGGGGAGTAGCTCCATAGAAAGAAATGACATAGAAACCTTGATGGAGGCCAAGTGCCTCGTCCTTCAAATCAGGAAAGGATCACGCATATTATGGAGCTGGCCTAGATGACTTACAGACATGCTTGTCTGCTATACATGACTTGGTTATTTTTACATATAACTCTTGAAACTCCTGTTACGTGGAAGGAAAAGTGTGTGTATTGAGCGTGGTGTCATAGAGATAACATGGTCCGTGGACTGGGGTGGTGAACATTGATAGAAAGATCATTTATGTTCTTTAATAAATCCAAATAGCACTGAAACCTTCACGCATGGTATATACCGAAACGTACTGGCCTTCTTTCAGGGGAGTAAAGGGACTTTCTGATGGGTGGGGTTGTGCTTTAATGAAATAGAGCCCATCCATCGATTAGGCCCCCAGATGTATGCCCCTCAATTTATCATAATAATCTGGCCACTCAGTGTATATCCTATATAATAAAAGGCTAACATGCAAATTGTCCCCCTCAACCAGGAGTTCCACCAGCAGGCAGGCAGGCCAGCTGCCCATGTTCCCTCCCCTTGGCCAGGCTGGCTGGACCCTACCCATGCACGAATTCATGCACCAGGCCTCTGAAATGTAAGTACACACACACACACACACACACACACACAGAGTGGCCAGATTATTATGTGTTCAGATATCATCATAATCTGGCCACTCAGTGTATTTTTTACATTTTTCCCCTCAGAAATTGAAAGATTAGCATGAGAGGGCTATGTTCTCATTTTCCAACCCAGCACCACTTATTATTTACTGCACCAGTATTTCCATAGTTCTTTTGAGTTCTGAACTTAAATCAACATGTAAATGGTGATGGCAGGGACAGCAACCATGCAAACAGCTGAAGGGCTGTGAGGGAAAATATGCTGAGAACATTTCGGGCTGTTCTCAGTTGCCTTGTTTATGGGGACATTCCAGTTGCAGCTAGAATTTTAGCAAGAGCCTGTCACAGGTAATGGGCTTATGTTTGAAAAGGATCCTTAGGTGTTTCTTGTTTCTCCCTCATACACATGCCATGCATCTTAGCTAAACACTTAGGGCGGAACTGTCGCAATGCCTTATGACATTTCACATCTAGACAAATCCCCAGACCAGTGTGTCACAGGAAAGGGGGTTAATTTATGAGTTTCTCCTTTTGTTTACAAGTAGATTAGTCTTGTTTTATTATTACTTTTAATATGCTTTTTCAAAATTGATTTCAGAGAGGAAGGGAGAGGGAGAGAGAGAGAGAAACATTAGTGATGAGAGAGAATCATTGATCGGCTGCCTCTTGCATACCCCCTTCTGGGGATCGAGCCCACTACCCAGGCATGTGCCCTGACGGGGGATTGAACATGACCTCCTGGTTCATAGGTTGATGCTCAACCACTGAGTCATGCCAGCCGGGCTTGTTTTATTATTTTTTAATGTCTTGTGTGTTTGGCTGCATTAAATGCAAACAAGTTATATTTGAGGAAGTTCAAGTTTGCCTTCCTGATTGACCTATGAAATTGGTTTCAATTAGACATGGAAAATCTCATTATCCCAGCGGAGGGATTTATGGTAAGACAGAGGAATTCTGTCTTAGTCTCAACATGGTTGGGACACTGCAGAAGGAGAGAGGGAAAATGCCAGGAACCAGTTTAATGAAGAAAAACACTGGTGAGATGCTTTTGAATAATAGATAGGCGATGTGATGGTCAACCACAAGATAAAATTTTTATACAGGACTTTTATGGCTTTAAACAGGCTGCATTGTAAACTAAGCTGACTTCTCTATTAAGTCATTTATAGTTTTCAATTATTTAACATTCCTCATCTTCCGTGGTCTTCTTCTGTACCCATCAGAAATACGGATGGTAGTCATTGCTTGTTGTTAGTGTAGGGACTTTGCAATGGAGCTGGGTTGAGTTTGAACTTCTCGCAACAAGAGTTACAAAGGCGGCACAAAGGCATAAAGTGGAAAGAATGTTATGGAAACAGGTGGAACCCTATTAAGTGGAGATCCCTCCCACATCCACAGTACCTAAAACAGTCTGCGTCACACTTCTTAAGAAATCTGGGAAGTACCTGCCTTCTAGGAACTGTGCATTTGGAAATTCTATCTCCCTTTCAGTGCAGGTCTTTTGTTTTCTCCACGGAGCAGATGGTGACGCTTTCCATGGAATCACTGTTAAGAGAAAACCAACTAAAAACTTCGGTATGAACATTGGAATCTTTCAATTTGAAGTAATGATGGACCTAGTTTTGCTGCAATACTGTGATTTTCGTTTATTCACTTGAAATTTCGGTATGAAGACAAAATAATGTCCTGGCGCCTCTGGGCAAACAAAGACATTTTCTCTGGTCACTTTGCCATTCATTTTTTAAAGCTGTGGGCTAATTTGGCTTTGTGAGTCAGTTGTTTCTTTTTTAATTAATTTTTTATTGATTTCAGAGAGGAAAAGAGAGGGAGGAAGAGAGAGAGAGAAACATCAATGATAAGAATCATTGATGTGCTGCCTCCTGAACGTCCCCTGCTGGGGATCGAGCCCACAACCTAGGCATATACCCTTACCTGGAACCGAACTTTGACCTTCTGGTTATAGGTCCACACTCAACCACTGAGCCATGCAGGTTGGACTGTGCATTTATTTGTAGGTTAGTATCTCCAGACCAATAGGGCCCTAGGAATAAGAGCAGGAAACTGTGAAGAAGATCTAAGTGCCCCTCACCCTGTCATGCTAGCGGGTGGGAGTGGGGCACTGTAGGAAACTTGAAGGATCTTTCTCTGGGATCATCATCTTTTGATGATTTGGAACCTAATTTATGCACTTTGTTTTGTAACCAATGGTGGTGGTGGCCAAAAGGGAGAGCCAGAAGCTGTGGGGATTTCTTTTCTTTTCCATGGAGATGAAATACCATAAATTTACTCAACACTGATGATTTAAAATGGGAAAGGTCACTACTCTCATAGCTCCATTGCCGTGGGTGTAAACCCCACTTCCCATCCCAGGAATGTCTACCATGCACAGATAGCTAATAGTGTATTTATGCCATTGTGATCGATAATTCCCACAGAAGAAGAATCAGCAGTAGTTTTAAATCAGGCCTCTGTTTTTATTTCTATTATGAAGACTACTTTGTTCATTTAAACAAGGGGATGGCCATAGTTACCAAAAAAGAGGGTTGAATGCATGTGGGATC